ACCCCAAATGAGGTGGTTTTTGTTGGTTTTGGTGGTGGTTCTCTTTGGTTTATTTGGTTGGGGTTTTTTTTAATGAACCAGCCATGGGGGTTTAGATGTTTAATGCTCAGTTCCAGAGAGTCCCAATGATACAAGTTGGAGAGTACCCCATTACCTTTATCAGCTTTTCCACATCTCCATCACACAGTGACACCAAAGGCACAGTGAACGGCTTCCAGACAGGGTCCAGCGTGTACTTGATCACCTGCAGGGTGGGAGCAGAGGGATGGTGGTACGTTGGCACATCCACACGCAGAGATCAACATAAAGCAGGGACACACCTCGAAGAGCAACCCTGGACCAGGTTCTCAGTGGGGCAGGCCAGGCAAGCTGCTGAAAGCCCCATCTCAGCCCTCTCCTGCCTCCATAACTGGGGCACTGCAGCTCCCCCTTCTCAGGCTGCAGCACGTGTGAGTTACAACAGGTTTGTTTCCATTGCATTGAGTGATTTATCTACCTCCAGGGGCAATTAAACAAACCTGCCTGAGGGAACAGCTGCAGCACACTGGGCAGCATGGGCACAGCATGAGCACAGCCACTTACTCCACTACTTCAAGGCCAGCAAATACTATTTATGCCCTCCACGTCCTGTTGCTTGCACCCTACTCATTGCTTACTCCCCACCAGCACCCCAGCATAGCTACTCATTGCTTACTCCCCACCAGCACAGCCCTACATCCATCCTGGGTCTGACCACCGAGAAGAAGGAGCAGCAGGATGCCACAACCAGCCCTGGAAAGCCAAAACAGCCCCAGGCACACTGTGCTCTTGTGTCTCATCTGTGTAACATCTGCTGCCTGAGCTGGAGAAATATTAATTGATGCTTTTTGACATTTCCTGAGAGAATGCAATCGCTTGGTGGAAACCTAAGCAAACGCTAACAGGCTCCAGGCACATGCTGTGTACATCGGAGGCGCCTGCAGGGCAGGCAAAGACCCTCTTCCACAAAGGTGGTGTGCTCAAAAAGAGGTTCACATGATTAGGAAAGTCAGATCAGGCAGCAGGTTAACCCTTCTCTGTGCAAGGCAAGCATAGGGGATATCTGGCATAGAGGACCTTGGATCTTCCCAGCCAGAGCAGTAACAGCATAGCCCAGGGAGGAAGAGATCCATGGCTGCTGCCACAGGCAAACAGCCGCGTGGGACCTGGAACGGGAATCTCGTTTGACAGACAAGATCTTACGAGAGACCGGGGGAAACCCTGACACTGCAAGCACAGTTTAGTTGAATTTGTAAACACCTCCCCCAGGAGCCTGGAAGAGCAGGAGGAGCCCACGCACCCCAGGATGCTGCCCACAGGCTGTCAGCCGCCGGGTCCCCGGGGTGGGTGGGGAAGGATCCAGCATCTCTATCACACAGCACCCAGCTGGGCATTCACACTTGTGCTTAAATAACAGGCTGCAATGAACACACTAATCCTGCCCTGCCAGACATAAACACCTCCCCCAGGAGCCTGGAAGAGCAGGAGGAGCCCACGCACCCCAGGATGCTGCCCACAGGCTGTCAGCCGCCGGGTCCCCGGGGTGGGTGGGGAAGGATCCAGCATCTCTATCACACAGCACCCAGCTGGGCATTCACACTTGTGCTTAAATAACAGGCTGCAATGAACACACTAATCCTGCCCTGCCAGACACCTCTGGCATCACCTCTGTTGTGGCAGGAGGAATGCCAGCATCAGACTGAGAGCTGGTTATATTCCCATAGCTAAAGCTGCAAGAATGGGAAACCTTGTTTCTTTGTATCCAGCCTCAAAACACAGAGATGGTCACAGAATCACAGAATCTAGTTCCAACCCCCACCCCCTGGGCAAGGAGACCTCCCAGCACACCAGGTTCCTCCAAGCCCTGTCCAACCTGCCCTTGAACACTTCCAGGGATGGGTTGCCTGTTACAGGATTTCTCAGAGGACTGTGGGATACATTTGAGGCTGGTAAGGAAGAGACTCTTGGAGAACCCATTACTTGTAAGAAAACTTGTTTAGACCCCGATCCAGTGAGATAGGACAATGGAGGAACTGGGCAGCAACCCAGAGGAAACATTAGAATATACATCTGCTCCCCACAAGCCTGATGTGCTTATAGAGATCCCAGAGACGGCTGCTGCACAGTCACCTTTCCCAATTACCGCACCTCTTCCAGGAGGAAGGGCCAGAGGTCACCCCAAATCCCCATGTCTGAGAAACACATCTTAGTGAGTCAAAGCCCAGCTGCCCACACTAAACCATGAGGAAACAACCAGACAAGGCCTCAGCCTGCTCCAGCAGAAATACAAGAGAAATATTACAGCTGATATGAATTAAATATGCATGGAAAGATGTGTGGGAAAGCATCCAAAAACTAAACAGAAGAGCTGGGATTATAAGGATGGTCTGTATCAGTACCACAGGACACACAGTGTTACCCACATCCTGGTGCACATGTGCACATGGGTGTGTGAGTGAAGGAAATCCTCATGGACTTTGCACAGAAGTGATAAAATCCAACGTAGGGAGAAACTTTGTAAATAAACATCACTCTCTCCTTCTGCCTGAGCTCATCCTGTGTTTTGTTACAGCAAACAGTTTTGCTGTGGTAGGACAGCGGGCTCCTTACCCAAACCTTGAGGGGACAAGAAAGGGATGGGAAAAGAGGGGTGTGAGATGAGGTGTAATGGAGCCCTCTTCCTCTGCCACAGAGGCTGCTGTGAGACCCCCTCCTGTAATCCCCCTCCTCTTTCTGCCAGCTGCCAAGAGTTACATGCAAACAAAAAAAGCCTCGAAACAAGCTTTGAGGAGGGGGTAAAAAAAAGCCCTTGAAAAGTACTTATTAGCACAATGTTAAGCAGAAGCCAGCCTACTTCACCCTGCCCATGCTGTGCCTGTTATCCATAACATCACTGGCTTTAGCAGCATGAGAATATAACCCGAGGGAGCTCAGATCAAAATATCACAGCAGGTATAAATGAGGGAGAGGGAGGGGTCAGCTGGCCCAGATCATACCCACCAGGACCCTGGTACAGGTACAGCCTGGTGGTACAGCCCTTTGGCTGTGGCTCTGGCTCCATGAGACACAAGGCCAAGTGCTCATGCACTGAAGCTGGAGACACCTGAGCATCCTCCCAGCTTAGGTAAAAGTCTGGCAAAAGCTGGTTTTAACCTTTCCCCACTACTGTTCCCTGGGCCACCTCCCATCACTGCCCTCCAACACCTCCCCAGATCACAGCTCATCCTGATGCTCCTGAGAGCAGAGAGAGAGCAGCCCAGGCTCAGCCCATGCCCTGGCTGAGCCTAGAGATCAACACAGGCTAGAAGACCATCTCCCTCTCTGCTTGTTAGATACAGCAGTGGGTAGTGCAGAAAAGATCTCAAGACTTTCGTGGTCTCACTAAATCTTCATCCACTGGAGTCCAGCAGCCACAGCTGGACAGTGGGAAGGCAGCTGTAAGATTTTGAAATCCCTGGATCTTACCCTGCTTTATGGGTGATTGATGAAATAATGCCACAAAGGGCAAGTGGAGTTGGTGTAAGGATGAGGGTGTCTCAGCAGCTCAGGTTAGAGTTTTGCTCACCTCTGTTCTGTGGACCAACATCCACTTCCCATCGTCACCTGGTTTATGAAACTCCAAGAAGGGGTCTGACTTCCCAAAAAGGTCCTGGTGGGAGAAGAATAGGACAAGTTACATGGTTTTCTGCAAGCAGCAACAGCCTGTCCAAGAGAGATCTTGCCCTGGCAGTGCCAACCCTGCAGACATCCTCATGTCCTCATGGGACCAGCTTCAGCATGCCAGCAAACACACAGCACCCACAGGCAGCATCCTGCCCCCCTCCCTGTCCTGGTCACACAAATCCCCTTGAGTTCCATATTGCATTGGCACCCCAGTGTGTGCCTGTGGGATTTGCTGGCGGATGCCCAGCACCCAGCAAGCTCCCTGGACACAGATGCCATGGAAAACAACCCCAGCTGGGAGGCAGCTGCATTTGGGCTTGGAAAAACATCCAAAGCTTCAAAGGAAAAACAGAATTATGAAGTGCATAGTGTCTTGGGGAAAAAAGGGAAAAAAAATCCACCCTCCTACACACAGCGACAAAGCATAAGCACAGGAAATCTTGAAGGAGCAAGCTGCCCTGGTGTTGACAGAGATCATGTAACACCCTCTGAGATATGCAGCCCCAAGTCGCTGTGTGCTGCCTTTCCTGCCAGTGTCTCCTCAGATAATCCTGCAATAAAGGGCTGCTGCTTTTTGAGGAATATGTACACATACACATGCATCCCTGATGGGTATCGGCACTTCAGCACCCACAGCCCACAGAGGTTCCACAACATGGAAACTCCAGCTCTTCTGGAAGCAGAACTTCATTTCTGTTCAGAAAAACTAAGAAGTAGCTAACAAGAAAAGAAGCCCCAAATATTCCAGATGATTTACTGGAACTCAAGTCATTTCAGTTGGGTTTTTCTCCTAGAGGGAGGTGAGTGCCTGAGTCCTGCAAAGAGCTGGAGGGACTTCTTATAGGTTTGAACAGGAGTTTTTTGGGCTTCCAAGTGATGCAGGGGGGATTCAAGGGGCTGTGCATAGAGGAGTAGGAAGCATAGACACCCCAGAACACCCTGTTTGCAGCCAGCTCAGGAAGTGGCGGCTGGGACGGACACAGACTCCAGTGATGCCCCAGCAGAAAATCCAACAACATTACTATACAAATCATGCTTTCAAAGCCAGGCAGAGAAGTAAATCAGTGCAAAGTGTTTCGGCTTGGAGAAACTACAACCTGCTTCGGTCAAACTTTTTCTGCCAGAAGAGCAGACCATAAAGTTTCACAGGGACACTTTCTGGTGAGACGAGGTTATTTTTCTCCTAGCCTTTTCACATGTTTGTGGGAAAGAAAGCCAAGCCATTCCTTCTGCTGTGTTACAGTTACAGCACAGCTCTAATCCTGCTCACCCACTGCCTGGAATGGCACTTTCAAGCTTCACAGATGGATTAAAGAACCAGCAGTGGGTACCTGACCCTGCCTATGTTGGCTTAACCTCCAACCCAAGACATCTTCATCAGTGCCAGCCCAGCGTGGGCTGCTGGAGGCACCTGCTCCAACAGCAGCAGAGAGCTTTGAAGGATGCTTGCTGCCATCCCACATGGAGCAGCCTGTTTTGCAAGTCTGGTCAGCCTTGCTCTGTTCAAAGCAGGGTGGGAGATGCCTCCAAGCCACAGGATTGTGGGCTGCTATTTTAAAACATCAAACCCACAAACATCTCACCCCTGCAGACCTGGTGGGAGATGGAAACTGAATGGAGCAACCAAAGGAGCTCAGCAGACCAGACTGAGTTGCAAACAGGTCCAAGAATCTAAATCATCCAAACTGGTCCTTGCGTAACATGGACAAGGAGGGCAGAGGTGGCACATCCAGCAGATGCAGTTCCCCAAACCACAGATTCCAGGACCTGTCCTGGCTCGCAGAGTTTGCTGACCCCAGCTGTGCCGTGGTGGCAGGGAGGGCTCTGGGGATGGGCTCACAGGGATGGCCCCAGGTGGAAATACTTCCTCTGCAAGATACTTTATCTTTAAACGTCTCTTCCAAGAGCCAATCTGACATAAGGTACAAGAGCCTCAGGCTGGGTCTGCTGCTGACATGCTCCCACTGTGCTGCTTCGGCATTTTAAGCAAGGTAGTGAGCTGCAGGTGGACAGAATGGACATGTGACAGGGAGGAGGACCTGCCTGCAGCCTCAGAGAGGTCCCAGCCTCAAGGTGGCCATAGTAGAAGAAGCTGCCTGGGGCCAAGCAAGGCTCCAGGCTGGGTTTGCAGCACAGCTGCTGGTAAGGGATGCCCACAGCTTCGGCGCAGTGTGTGCAGCAAGACGATGCCATGGACCCACCACAAAACCCTGTGAGACCCAATCCCTTTCTATGACGTCTGAGCCTCCAGCTGTGCTTCCCAGCTCCATGCTGCATGATACAGGAGGGTGTTATCCCCCAAATTACAATCTTACCCCTGTGGTTTTTGTGTTTATCCACTTCTCCACTGATTTTCCTAAGCTTAAACGAGTTCTACTAAGCTGCCACAGTCACATTTCATCCATGATTAATAATGACACAAAAATACTGGTTTTCATCGAATTTCCTTGTTCAGGGACCATTTTAATCTGCATGAAGTGACAAGAACATCCTTTGCCCATGAGCAGGACTTTGAGCACTGCAACACTACTCTGTGTTATGGGAATCAGTAATGAAACCTTGTTAGCTCTTGATGACAGCAGGCAGTCACTGAGAGTGTGCTTTCTGTTGGCACTAATTGATAAACTGGAGGGAGACCCAGAGAGAACAGGATAATTCATGGTCCTTACCCCACTGTAACCAGGTAGATGCTGGATTTCTATACTGTGATTGTGGGTTTGAAGGGCAGCAGACCCACAGGTATCATATCCTAGTCAAAGAATATCAAAAGATGTCACCTTTGCATAACCTGGTAAAGGAACTTGGCTGCAAACCCAATCAGAAAAGCAACTCCTTGCCCATGGAGCAAGTGATGCCACCAAAGAAGTTGCCTCTTCAACAACTGGACATATGCCTGAGGTACCAGTGAGTACCAAGGTCCTTGGCTTGCTCTTCACAATGGCCACAGCTGCAGAGAGATCTTGAAGCACAAAGGAAGGCACCAAGCCTGCTGTGAAATCCCATCCCTTGCTTTCCAAGGGAGCAGAGACCTTTTCTTGGGGCACTGGAAGAAAACTGTTGCATTAGGGATGCCTTTGCTGGCACACATGGGGTTGACCCTCGGCCAGATCTCAAAGGAAGCCACCAGCTCAAGGACATCTTCCAGCCCATTCATGAAATGCAGCTATTTGAGGATTTCTTAACAGGAGCATTTGGCTCCTAGCACTAGGCAAGCAGGAGGCCAAGAAAACAGCCATTCCCAACAGGTGGGAAAAACTCTTGCTTAAACCAGACATTGATCTGATTCAGACAATAGGACTGGACAAACCACATCTCCTGCCTGAAAAAATACCCTTCTGCCTGACTGTTTGCCTTACCCTGTTTTCAAACAAACTAAGGGCCATCCTGCCAATAAAACAAGCTCTGGAGAGACTAGGAAGAAGGAAAAATAATATTCCCATCGATCGCTTAGCAACAGCACTGGTTCAAGAGGAACAGCTCTAGTTGCCTGGTAAATAAGGTCAGAAGGTTCTGTTCAGAAAGGCTCACCGCTTCCTGTGTACCATATCCAAACAAAACTCATGTATTACCTGCCTCCATGAGGTCAACACTTGTTCCTCAGAGAAGACAGGCCCTACAGTTGGACGCACATGTAATGTTCACACCATTTCCAGAGGAGCTGAAGGTGACGAGCCAGGAGGCCTCAGCACATCTGAGACATGGGTTCAAGGGGCATCAAAACTTCCAGCTCCATCAAGAGGCATTTCCAAATTACTACCACTGAAGCAGTAATGTCTTTAAGACATGCTAATACACAGATCCTGTGCAACACAGAATCTTTCCACCTCCACGTGTGTGATGAAGAAAGCAATACCATGACAATGAGGAAGCTGAGGTACAGATGTACTTAGCCCAGGTCTCATCACAGAATCATAGAATCAACCAGGTTGAAAGAGACCTCAAAGATCATTGAGTCCAACCCTACAGTCATTACTAGACCATAGCACTAAGTGCCACATCCAGTCTCAGCTTGAAAACCTCCAGGGATGGTGAATCCACCATCTCCCTGGGCAGCCCATTCCAATGCCTGATTACTCCTTCTGTAAAGAATATCTTCCCATAATCCTACCTAACCCTCCCCTGGCAGAGCTTGAGTCTGTGCCCTCTTGTCCTGCTGCTGGTTGCCTGGGAGAAGAGACCAACCCCCACCTGACTCCAACCTCCTTCCAGAGAGTTGTATAGGGCAATAAGGTCTCCCCAGAGCCTCCTCTTCTCCAGGATAAACAATCCCAGCTCTCTCAGCCTCTCCTCATAGCACTTGTGCTCGAGTCCCTTCACCAGCCTTGTTGCTCTTCTCTGGACCTGCTCCAGCACTTCAATATCCTTCCTGAACTGAGAGACCCATAACTGTACACAGTATTCAAGGTGCAATGCCACAAGGTGAAAGCATCCTGATGCTTTCTCCAGCAGGACTGTTTTCTGCCACTGCTACACCCAAAAGCAGAGATTTGTTTAGATCCCAAGGATGGAAGTTTAACACTACATCCCCCAGACACAGCTCCACTCACCTTTTTATCCAGTTTTCTTCCAGCCACGCTGAGAGTAATCACCCTGTTATCGGAGAGCTCCTGGGCAGCTATCTGAAAGACAAGGGAAGGCTGTGTTCATTTTCAACAAGAAAAATGAAGCTTCTGGTAAAAAACTCACCCCCTTTCTTGGGTGTCATGCTGGAGCTGGTCTCACATAACTTTTCTGCACCAGGCTCATTCAGGACCCAGAGAAGCCTTCATGAACCAAGCCAGGAGGAAGCAGAAGCTATATAAACCTTACCAGCAAGGTGTGCAACCTCATCCTCCATGTCCCAGGCTGCACATGGCAAAAAACAGCTGCCACATCCCTTAGGGGAGATGCTGGTGGCACTCAGGACTTGAGCCATGTCTCTGCACAACCACCCAGTCAGACAGCCCCAAGGATGAAGACTCCAGTGTTGCTCCTGACGAGCTGCAGCAGGCAGGAGTGAAGCCCAGAGTACTTCATTGTAAGAGACTTTATTCACATATGCTCCAGAAGGGCTTCAGCTGCCAACCACCAGTGGGCCAGTTTTGTCTGGAATGTGGTCTAATTAGCCTTTTGGTATTTTAAGGGAATGTTTATAACAAAACCACACATTCATTCACTTTTATTACCAGCTATTTTCTGAACCACTTGTCTTTTTTTCCCTGTGTCCTGCCCAAGCATCTCCTCTCCACCTCTCCCCACTCTGTTCCCCCGGGTGGGCTGATCTGCTCCCCAGCAACCCTGGTTGAGCATCCTCCTCCTTGTGCAGGAGATGGCACCAGAATAACTGGGGGCACGGCATGGACATTGTCCTCATGCACTTTGCTCCCAAGCACAGCTGTTTGCTGTGTCTCACAAAAGGCTATCCTGCACTGGAGACACACAGCATCATTACAGACAGGCTTCTAGAAAAACTTGCAGATCTCCAAGGGACAATTTTCTGCAGAAGGAGCAGAGGGTTACTGGCACTTAGGAGAGTCAGGGAGTTGGCAGAGATGAGGAGGCAAAGATATAGCTTTTGCCTGGGCAGCTGGGTGAGGGGATGAGCCACAGCTTCTTAACACAGCCCCAGCCTTCCCATGGTGGACAGAACTCTTTGAACCACAGAGGATACATTTTCACCACATGCAAACCCCAATTTTCCTCTCTGCTCCACAGAGCTGTGAAGTCAGCAGATCCCTATTGCAAAGCCACGGCATCAGTTTTCTCTCCCACCTAGTCCTTGATGGGTATTCAGTCACCAAAACCAGCAGGAGGAGGAAGAGCTGTAGGGAAGTGGATTAAATTTGCCCTTTGCTCATCCCCACAAAAGCATGTCCAGTTTGTACTCAGCATTTCAGGGCTCACTGCAGGCTATGTAAGAGTCAGACTGTGCAGACAAACCAGCACTGTCCTTGTGCCACCCTGCCACAAGCTGCTGGTGGCATCTTCTCTTGGCCAGCATGGACAATAGCAACATCCCTCCTATCACTGTTTCCAGCAGAGGTGTGCAGCAAGATCTTGGGATTGATTTCTACAAACACAGAGGTTTGCTCTGGGATTTTCCCCATCTCTTCAAAGCTAGGGACTCCCATACAATGCCATCCATCCAGCCAAGGTTCTTCTGTTGCATTCACCCTTATGACATCTCAGTTAAGGAAATGGATAGTCTGGCAAAATTGAAGGGAATGGGGGTGAGGAAGGCAGGCTTTGACTCCAAACTCTATATGGGTGAGTCCAAAGCTGAAGCCTGCTTCTCCAGTGGTGTCTATAGCCTGTGCTCCAGCACTGTGCCCACCACACACAACCCTGTGGCCATCACCTAGTCCAAGCCATGGGAAAAAAACCCAGATCAGAAAGTCGTAGCAGTTGTACAAAATGAAGCAGATGTCTCTGACCCTTGGATGTTTAACAACACATTAGTGTCAGATCGGGACCTTCCTTTATTTTTAAAGCATGCAACCTTTGAACCTGACTGGAAACTTTTCATCTGGTCCAGCTCTTCCCACTCAACCATCAGATGGGATATTGCGAGACTGCTCCTTGGGGATGACACATGGCATCAGGCACTGCTTTTGAACTTCACTGCAGCTTTTCCACTTGTGTTTATAGACTAACTGCAGCAATTAAAAGACAAAAGCATCTTCCCAACATCTAAAACAAAGAGCAATGAAGATGACCTTGCAGCACTAGGTCCTGGGCTTTAAAACCCTTTTCAGTGCTTCTAAACCTGATGGAAGTTTAACTCCTTTCTGGCCTTTTCTCCCACACCTTTGCAGACCAACTGTGTGTTTCACAAAACCTACAACACAGCCAAGATCCAAAAAGGATGGGAGCTGTGGCAGAAGGGAAACACACCTAAATTTAGTCTTTTCTTTTGAAAAAAAACATAGCTGAAGAGATCCACAGCGGGAAGGCCACTGCCCGAAGGGGTCTGCATAGGAATCAGTGGCTGTTGCTATGAGAGTTGTTGCCATGGCACACTTCCATCCTCATCCTACAAACAAAATCACCCATCCCTGGAAAAGGAATGAGCCCTCTTACCTCTCATAGCACCAGAGAGGACTGAGCAGGCACCTCATACCAGATAACAAACAACCACAGCATAGGTTTACTTTGTACTTCCCTAGATTGAGGCTTTTCTTCTTCCAGAGACTGAAGTAGTGGTTAAAGACTCATGGTGCTGGACACCAGACAGACACTGGGCAGGATGGTCCCTGACACAAACAAATCATCCTCCAAACAGACCAAACAGACCAAAGTGGCCAGAAAAGTGGGAGGTAAAGGGAAGAATGTTCACAAGAGACACCCCAGTCTCCTGGATGCTGTGGGAGTGTCCTGCATTGCCCCCATACGTCTTTACACACTCAGTAGGTATCATAAAGGACTAACCGTACCGTAATCATCCCCTTCCCAGCTGGTTTGCCATTCCCCAGAAGGAGAGTCCGTGTTATTTTCTTGCTGGAGACGATCTAGACAAGCCAAAGAAAATGAAATCATGATTGTACAAGTGATCCAACGCAGACTCATAAGCAACTGATCATTGCTCATGTTAGTTAATTCAGATTAATCTGCATTCACAACAGTAGACGAAAGGCATCATATCCAGGGATGACTGTGAGAGTGGGAATATCAGCACTGATACCTCAACCCATGGGATGCAGGACAGCAGCTGTGCAGTGTGGAGCAGCAGTGGCACAGGAGGCTGAAGCATCACTTCCCACTGAGCCCAGGGACCAGCCCTTTGGTGGAGGAGGTCAGTGGGAACTCACACAGACAGGGCTGCTGTGATTTGTTCTCAAAAAAATCATCCCTCAATCTTTCAAATCCCATTTTAAATACTTCTAACATGATCCCTGCCAGCACCTTGATGCAGGCCACGTTTCCATGGGATTCAGGGATTAGAAGCTAGATGCTCTCCCCCAGCATCATTCTGCACTTCCTGCACAGGGGTCAGCACCCCCGAAAGCATGTTCTCCCCTTTACTTCTGGTTTGCAAGAGGCCAGATAGGATGATCTGGGAGATGAATTAAACCCTTGAGATTTTTCCCAGCTCAGTGAATTTCAGTTGCCTTCAGATCTGGGGAAGCTGTAAGTTTCCCCCCAAAATGCAGACCCCCACATGGAGATCCAGCAACCTACTGGAATTACTGCTCTGATCTCATGACTCCAGTCCCCTTCGAGGCTGGATAAGCTTTAAAGGTCCCTTCCAACCTCAAACATTCTGTGATCCTATGATTCTTACAATTTCAAAGCAAAAACCTGTTCCCATCGTGGTGAGCCAGACATGTCCTGATGCTTTTGATCTAGCAATGTCCCAGTGCTTTTGATCCACAGGAATCATCAGCCAGTGTGAGCAGATGTTTGTGTCCCACTGTGTACAGGCAGGTGAAACCTCCTCACAATCCTGGCTAGCAGAAACCACAACACCCTCCACCCTCATCCCTGCTACATTTCGTTTGGCCATAGAGGTCATTACAGGCTCATGAATGATCCAGCCATCCTTTTAAATCCTACCACAGACCTCATTAGCTGCACTAAGCAATTTGGCTAATCTGACAGAGCTCTGCTGCTAACTGAAAATTGAAAAGTCAGATGCTCACTGTGTGGTTGCTGCTGCCCACGGCTGCTCTCCTTCATTTCCGAGAGCTGCTCGTGCCTCAAAACCAGCAGGCTTATGGAAACATCTCACCAGACAAATTCCAGCCACATCAAAACCCACAGCAGGGTGGCTGAACCCACAATCGCCTGTCCACTCCGTTTCACCCCTCTCCTCACCCCTCTGGTCCATCTCTGCCACACGACTGGGCTGTGGTGCAAGTCCACACTGGCCACAGGGAGAGGAAGCTAATAGGATTTCAGGGGAAAAAAAGGAAATGAAAAGATCCCTCCATTCCAAGCTGTTTTCTTATTGTGGACTAAAGGTCACTAAGAAGCTGACTTGGGAACCACTGCAAAATCTGGGCACACACAGAGGCCATGTTCTCTTTCGCAGAGTAGAAATACTGTTGTGGGATTACGGAAGTTCCAAACTCTCTTCTTTCTGACAGACTAAGCCCACCAGCTGTGTCCAAAGACACAGCAGACAGTGATGCTGCCACAGCAAAACCATCAGCTGTTCTGAGAGAGCCCCTGGATGTGAGACCTGCAACATCTGTCCATCTGCAGCATTACCACAGCCCAGGAGGGTCCACCCAGGCTCACGCTCTAACATAATCACCTTCCCAAGCACCAGAAGGGTTGGGCTCTTCTGGGAAACCCAACGAAGAGGAGATGGGGGTCACTCTTTCACCTTCCTCCCCAGTGCATACAGATAATATTCCTCTCCAGCACGAGCCTACAGAGCCTTGGGCTGCTGCAGAGCCACATCTAGGAACAGCAAGGTTTCAGCTCTGTTTCCTTATGTTCATAAATTCTCTGATTTTAGCTTCCACCAAGACCAAGACCTTCACAGCGAGCGTTGCTGAGCTGCCCCACACCAGATCTGGCCTTGTTTCAGCAAGGATGGGTTTGGTCTAAATCACTAAACACAGGCTGGGATGTTGTCTGTACTATCTCTTAACTTCTGCAAGAGCAGAATTAGGTTGTCACAGAGCACTTCCAAAATTCCAGACATTAAGCTTCAAACTCTGTAAATGTCAGTGCTCTTCTAACACGTCAAGCTCTTGAACTGGCAGTGGTAAGGTCACTTGTCCCACCTGCCACATGCAGTGCCATGTGTAAAGTGATTGCATCTACAAGCCTCCCTGAGCACCTAGAGCTGGCTCTCCACACTGACCTACCTATTACAGTATCTCCTTCCTCCCCATTCCCATCATTGTGCACAATAAAAACATTTTCTTCGAGCCTCTGCACTTGTGCCAGGTACCACAGCAGCCCTGAGCTGCTGGAGGCTGCAAAAGAATGGAAAAAATCCCCCTCATCCCCTACTTCTGAGTCAGAGGACAAAGTCATTTGGACAATGTAGCCACCAGTTTCTAACAGGGTCTGGGCTCTTCAAAGAAAAGACCTTCCAAAGGCTTATAAATCTCATTGTGTCCAGAAAGCTTTTCCACAGGAGAAGCAGAAGACACACTTCAGCACCAACGTGCTCAAGTAGGAGAGATGATTTGCCACACAACAGTAATGAACAAAGCTTTCAAAAAGAGACAGATAGATAACTGAGATAGAAAGGTAGACTGCAATGCAGCCTTACTTTAAACATCTGGAAGATTCCCAAGACCAAATCCAACTGGTCATCAGAGCTCTTACCATAACCCATGGTGAGATACAGATATCTCCAGAGACTTCCAGGTGATGCCTCCTTGCTGGCACCAGCATAAGCCCACACCATGACTAGCTCAGACATAAGCAATTAGCCAACAGCCCTAATGTGGAACAGTTCAACCTCAGCAGCTGAAGTGTGACAAGCAAATTACCAGGAAGGACACGGCAAACTTCGCAGTAGATGAGAGTAGCAGCTGTAATCCCACCCCTTCCCTGTGGCTGATGTGATTTGGGGTCCCTTTGCTGCAGGCACCTCGGAGACTCACCATGCCCAGCGTGCAGGAGAACTCGCCAAGGAAGTCATGCTCGTACAGCTGCGTACTCGACTTATCCTGGTCAAACAGGGCAAACTTGAGCTTCTGCACTTCCTCAAAGTGGTAGTCGATGATGAACTTCTTGGCAAAAGCTGGATTGAGGTTGTTTACGGCTGTCTCTGTCCTGTCAAGCTGCAAATTAAAAAGAAAAGAGGCACTTAGGCACGTGTGTCTTGCATCTTTGTCACTGAAACTTCAGCCAGAGCCACTTGGAAACCCTGTGCTGACCATCACAAAGCAAGCACATCGGGTGCTCAGCAGAGCTGGCCCTAAACACAGGCCATGATACCCAGCGTATGTGAGCTGGGATCCATCCAAACATGTAACAGCACATCCTGCAGAGCTGCCTTGCCAAGGACAGGGTGCACAGTGCTGGACAAGCCCACACCAGCCAACAGCCAGGACATAAGCACCCACCCAGCCAAGGCTCACCAAAGCAAGAATTGTGTAATTTGCTTCTAAGCCCTGTTCTCCCAGGAGGTGAGGCTCTCACACAACTCTGATCCTCAACCAGACCCTCACAGCTGTAGTGCCAAACTTGTTTCTTTCAGGCTGTGCAGCCAACAGCAAAGAATCAAACCAAGAAGTGTCACCAGCCAGAACAGCAACACTCTAGCATTCCCTCTAGACCTCAGACCAAAACATCCATGTAGTTTCTTCTTTCTTGGCCTTCCATGGAAATAAAGAGTAAAAAAACCCCAAACTACTGCAGGCCATTTTTCATAGATCTCATCAAGCAGTAGGAGAAACAAGAGGCTGGAAGGACCCAGAAGACAAGACTTCAATAGACATTGACACCCTGAGCTATTCTGAGCAGAACGGAAGAAATTATGTCCCTGACAGCCTGGAAGGGCATGCACACAGAGGATGATGGAAACTGGAAGGCATGTGGGGAACCCACCAATGGAGGGGAAGCACCACAATGGTCTGCAGCATCCCACAGCCAAGAGCAGCGGTAAGAGCAGAGGAAACTTGGCAGGTGGCTGGTGGAAATGAGGGTTTATGACACAGCATGGTACAGGTGGACAGAACGCCTTGTGTGAGCCAAAAAAAATAACCCTGGGAATGGTCACATCAAAAATCCCAGAGTGCTGCTGTCCGATAATGGAACTTTGGTTCCAGGTAACACACACCACAGGAGGGCTAGGAAGATGGCAGCACCAACTGGGATCCCAACAAGGGCTTGCACAGAGACCAAACCTCACAATTTTAGCCAAAGTGTTACAAACTGGGAAACTGAGGCTAAGAAAAGCTGGTGTATTACTTCTGGAAGTCAATGTCCAAGGAGAGCCTGCACTCTAGTGTCAGGACCAATCATACCCCACCAGACAACCTGAGAGGCATGACAAAAGGGCAAGTTTGGAGCACAACATGCAGCATAAACTTAGGAAGCTAAAAGGAGAAGGAAGGACACTGGTGGCACAGCCTGAGAACTGAACAAGAAACAAACACCCGGAGCTGGGGGGGAAATCCTCCAGCATGCAAACTAAGCATGAGCTTTGTCAGGAGAGCAAGTTGTTGGTATAGTGTTGATATCACTGTTCAGCCTGGAGAAGAGAAGACTCCAGGGAGACCTTAGAGCACCCTCCAGTACCTAAAGGGGATGCAAGAGAGATGTAGAGATTTTGCACAAGAACATGACCGGACAGGACAAAGGGAAATGGCTTCAAACTGACACAGGGCAGGGTTTGATTAGATATTAGGAAGAAATTCTTTGCTGTGAGGGTGGCGAGGCACTGGCACAGGTTGCCCAGAGAAGCACAGGATGCCCCATCCCTGGAAGTGTTCAAGGCCAGGTTGGATGGGGTTCTAAGCAACCTGGTCTAGTAGATGATGTCATGACAGCATTGGCATTTTGCCATATTACCCTATTATCCCTGGATATGGTAGCATGGGCTGTTAAAAGAGAAGGAAAGGCAGGTGCTCTCCAGTGTGATTATACTAAACGCTGCTGCCCTTGGTGCCTGGAAAGACCATTCCATCTGTCTGTGGGACAGCATGAAGCCTCTGGCCATGCCATAGCTCTGGCCAACATTCCACCTCATCTCACAGCCAGGACACCCAGTCCTGGGCAAGGCTGAGCTGCCTGTGCATCCCAGGTCTCAGGGCAAGACTCCTGCAGAGAGCAGCCCCCGCACCAACATCCCCAGGCAGCACCGAGCTGTGGGATGGCAGGACGTCTGCCAGAGCTGCAAGAATAAGCAGAGCATAAAAAAAGCCAAAAAAAAAAAAGAAAAGCAAACACATACCTTAGTCCCAAAGAAACTCATTCAGCACAGGAGGCAGGTTTTGGAAGGGCTGAGTGGAAATGTGGTGAGTTTGCTATATATACACCCAACGATCGCAGTGTTTTTTGAAGTTGCTCGCTTAGTCTGTCTTAATTGCCAAGAAACGACTAAAGTAAACGCTATGTTCCCAGAATAGCCACCTGCTGCACTCCGGGGAATCAAATGCATCAACACCAGTGGGCTGTGAGCTGGCCAGGGCCACACAGCTTCACACTGATCCTTCCCTCTCTGCTGCCATCCCATACTGAGTGGACCAGGAACAGAGGGCATCCTCAGCTCTGCCTTATCTCAGCAGCACAACACATACAAATCCCCTTTCGAGCCGGGGAGGTGAGACTACACAGGCAGCAGAGATGGATTTTAGCTCCTTCCATGTTCTTTGAGCTACTGGAAAGCCAGGAACCAAGAGAAACCAGTCCTTTCACTCCCAGACACTCATTCAAAGGAGAAAACTTGAAGTCCCATCTCCAGCTCTGCCCTGGAAGGGGTGGCCCAGGGAAGGGTACGAAAACCCCAGCAAACTCGAGCTATTCCTTGGGAGTTACGGAGCTTCTTTCAATACCCAGATTAAACTGTTTAATCTCCTGCCTAGTGTCAGTGTGAAGCACAACAATATCCCAAGCTCCAGCTGTGCAAAGTTTGGTCTTTGGTTTGGTGAGCTCGTATCACCTTGCCAATGACCAACACATATGAGGCCCCTACACACACCATCACCTGCCACCAGCTCCTGCCATCCCCTTTTCACCAGTGCTTATCACAGTCCCATGTCAGAGCAGAGGTGGCCTTGCCACTTAGGAACAGAAAAGCACAAGGGCTTTTAAGTGGCAGTCAGACTAATTAAAGGTATCTGTTTGGATAAGTGTCTCAAAGGGCCATGAAGATGATTAGAGGGATGGAGCACCTCTCCTATGAGAAAGGGCTGAGAGAACTGGGATTATTCAGCTTGGAGAAGGCTCCAGGGAGACCTCAGAGCACCTCCCAGCACCTGAAGGGGCTACAAGAGAGTTGGAAAGGGACTTTGGACAAGGGCATGGAGTGATAGGATAAGGGGAAATGGCTTCAAATTGACAGAGGGCAAGTTTAGATCAAATATGAGGAAGAAATTATTTCCTGTGAGAGTGGTGAGGCATTGGCACAGATTTTCCAGAGAAGCTGTGGCTGCCCCATCCCTGGGAGTGTTCAAGGCTAGGTTGGATGGGGCTTTGAGCAAGAGCCCCGGCAGGGGGTTTGGAATGAGATGATCTTTAAGATTCCTTCCAATCCAAACCACTCCATGATTCTATGATCCTACAAATCAAGCACAAAACTGGGAAACCATCTTCAGCGACAGTCCTTGTGTTCAGTAAGCCCAGCCAGATAGTCTTCCAGCATTTGACGGGAGGTTGGCTGGAGACCTTCAAGCATCCCCATCATGTGGAGGTGCTTCATGCTCCAACACTGAGACACTTTCCCAAGTGCCAAGGGAAGCTCATGCTGAAGGTGTGGGACCAGCCAGGTGACTCAGAGTGGCACAAAGGCAGCAGCCAGCTGAGTCATGTGTCCAAACTCCTGGCATCACAGGTCAGGTCTTCAATGGCTCCTACAAGATGACATCACTGGCAGAACATTTAAGCATTACCCATTTTCATGTCACTTCCCAGCCTGTGGTTTATTGTCCCTCCCTCCCCCATTCCCTTCAAGGCTGATTCACAAAGATTTTTTAATTCCTATTAAGCTCAGCAAGACAAAATAATTGTATTTGGGAACAAATGTGACAGCTAGAAAGAACAGTGAGCAGAAATCCTCCTGCTGGCATCAGCTGGTGCCATAGGCCCTCTGCCCAGCTCAGATGCTGGCACCGCTGCGGCCAGGGCTAGTCCTGGAGGAGGAGATCCACCTTCTCAACCAGGTCTGAGGGTTGGGATGTATCCCTATCCTGGTGCAGAGGACAGAGGGGCACCATGGTGGGCTGGCTTCATGCCAACAAGCTTATTCTGTCCCTATCCATCCCTTACATTTTAGCTGTGGTATTAAGGTCACTGCTTTCAGACAGGAAAAAAGTTCATCTTAGGGCAAGGGGCAAATGTGCATGGCTAAAATCCATGGAGGACAATACAGGCACGCCTGGGTAGCTCTGAACCATGTGTCGTGAGCTACCAAGGGTCCACCAAATGCCCCATCTAACAATGTTCTCACGGGCAATCCCACCTCTCCTGACCCTCCTCACCCAGCCACAACCCAAACCCATGCACCACTACTGCCATGTCTGGGGGTGGGGGGATCTCAGTCTCAGTCCCAGGTGTATCCTGGTGTGCCAGTTGACCAGAACCAGCTCTGGCACACAAACACACCACACCATGTGCCAGCCCATTAAACCTCTGTTGATACCACAGTAGCAGAGCATCGACAGCAAGCTGCCGCTCCAGGCTGACATCCAGTGCCTCTCGTGCCAATTAAAAAGAAGCTAAAAATAGCAGAGGAAAAGAAAAAAAACTAAAAGCACCACATATTTGTATTGCAAAGGAAGCTCTGCTATCAAAACCGCTGGACTGAGACATTACTGACAGAAAGAGAACTTCCTGAAAAGTACAACCAGGTCAGAGATGACACCTATCAAGGCAGGAAGCTCATTAGTCTCATCCAGGCTGCTGAGCAAAGTTAATTGCGGAT